GGTGTTACATAGTCTTCGATGTGGTGAATACATGGCGGTCTCACCAACGTGCCTTGCATTGATGAGCTGGAATTTGTGCCCGCCCGTGTCTCTAGAAGGCACAGGAGAAGCAAGCATAGCCGAGAATGACGGGTTTTTGATCTATAGGTAGAGAAGCAGAGACAGATTCTGGAGTGTTCGACTGAATGACAGACAGCCAGCAAGCTCGTACAAAAAACAGTATTTGGATATAAAGCCAAGCATATCGTGGGTTGGTCTATAATGTATGGATGCTTTGACGAGAGTGGATTCCTCTTGCTGGGCGTTGTGATCTGCTGAACGTCCAAAACAGACCTCTCGGGTATGACAACGTCAAAAGTGTTGGTGGTAGCTTAGGGATATCGCCGGCAAGCGATGCCATGGCAAAAAGAGATGGGGTAGGCCCGGAGATCTCATCCAGAGCGACGCCGTCGTCGCTCAACAGCGGGAGACAGATCCTCCCCGCCGACCGACGGTCATCGGTACATTTCGGTCAGAATAACGTCGCTCATGCGTAGAAGGTGTTCAGTGCGTGCTCAACTGAGCAGCCCACGTTGTTTTCCGTTGCTTGGGGCAGATGCTCCGGTGAAGGACCGTATGTGAGATGAGAGGAAGTTGGTGTTTGCATATCACGAAGTAAAGCATTGGATTCAACGAGGTTCTCTGTCAAGGTAGCTGTCAAACTCGTGTTATGGGGATATTCCATTTTCCGTGTAATGCCGTACGATGCATTCCGTATTAAAATTAGCTGAAGCTGTTGCATAGCAGAGTAACGCTGAACGCTTGCCGTCAATGGTATTGCGCCTCAGTGCGCCAGTGCTTTTGAGCGTTGCACTGCTGTGATGCGTTTCGCAATCCACCCAGTCCTTCCTTATCTCCTTGACCTGCGATCATAATCGTCCCGTCCATATCGATCCCTTTCTCTACCTCGGTCTCGGCGATCATGGCCACGGTCCCGATATCGGTTCCTATCATGATCTTTATCGCGCCGGTCGCCTTGACGGTCATCTCGCGGCTTGCGATATCGATCCCGACTTCGATCTCTTGGACGCGGACTCCGACTCCGACTTCGTCGACGTGATGGCCCTTCATCATGATGGGATTTCGGAGGAGGTGCATCATCCGTCTCCTGGTTCTGTCCACTGCGCCCCATTTTGCCTTTCATTTCCTCTTCCCCGTGAACCATTCTGTAATTACCACCTGTAATCCTTTCTCCCTCATCTCGGTATTGTCGGCGCTTCTCGAGCTCATCCACACCTCCCCATCCGCCTCGATGAGCAGTCGCCCTTCGCTTGCTGTTCGTATCTTTTCGCCACACATCGCTCAGTTTGCTGACACTCTGAGAGAAGTCGACATGAATGCGGCGATCGTCGATGAGAACGTCCTGCATCTTGAAGTAGGCTGTCTCGCATGACGCCTTGTCTTCGAATTCAATGAATGCATATTGTAAACTGTCGCCAGTCTTTTGGTCTCTGATAACTTCGCAACTCAAAATCTTGCCGAAACGGCCAAAGATGAGCTCCAAATCTTCGTCGCCAGTCACGGGATTCAGTTTACAAACGAATAAAACGTTCTCAGGAGGTTTGACCTCTGCAAATGGCAAATCTCCCATCATTTCCAGAGTGAGAGCCTGCGCCTGTGCCTCGCGATTGCGACGCCTCCTTTCCAACTCTTCCTCATCGACACCGTCATCTGCGTGTAATGCTGCCTCGTCTTCGATTCGAACAGTCTTCAACTGCTGGGCGGTCGGAGGGGGACTCGAGCTCGGTTCCCTCAAGCCAGGCGGGTCAGGGTAGGGATCGTCCAGAATAACCGTATGCTTGATTCGAATGTCGATAAGCGGGTAGCCCTTCTCGTCGACAATCGCCTCATTGATCTTGTCCAGCACTTCAAAACCTTCGACAACTTTTCCAAAGACCGCTGCCCTTCCATCCAAATAGTCCGTGTCTTCGCCCAATGTGACAATGAACTGAGATCCAGCCACACGTGTATCAGGATCGGACTGGAGGGGCGCCGTAGCCATGCTGACTGTTCCTCGCTCCAAGTGTTTCAACTTGGGGTGGAAGAAGGCCGGGAATGTTCGTTTCGCCGGGTCGCCGGATATATGACCCCATATTGAAGAGCCACCATCAGAATCTTTGGAAAGAGGGCCGAGAGGATCGCCGGTTTGGAAAGAGAAGTTCTTCTGAACAGAATGGACAGGTGAAAAGTTGTAGTATTTGACCTTGCAGAGTTTCAGAAAGCTATATCATCTGTTAGTTCAGCGACTCGGTAATAGAAACAAGGTGGCATCGCGATGACTTACTTTTCGCAAAGTTTGGGTGCATGGTCGACCAGAAGATCGATGACAATGTCGCCTTCACTGGTCTCCAAGAGAACTGACATGACAACGGATGGTATCTCCTCTCTTACGCGATGCCGAATTAGTTGATTGAATGCGAAAAGAGATTATGAAGAGAAAGACGCGTTGTCCCAAGAATATCTAGATGGAAGGTTGTATGAGGTAACTGCTCCAGCCACTCACTGCCGCGAAGCTTTCCAGAAGGCCCCCATACCTAATGGCAGCCTTCTGGAAAGCGCCACAGGTGGCGCTTTTCAAGTTACATAATCACACGATGACTTCAAGTTCACCAGACCAGCATCTCATTGTGGGCATGTCATATCCATTCGTGACAAAACTTACGATCTGTATTTGCATGTGATTTTAGGGCCTTACACAATGTTTCTCGGTAACACCCACGGACGGGCTGCTTCCTCAAGCAACGTCTTCGTTCTCGTTTCAACGATGCTCAGTCTTACATCGGATATTCCACTTGGACGTTCCTGACATATTGAACAACATTTTGATGTTCTCACATAGTCTCCTCAATCAGTTTTCTGTACAGTGCGCCTTTCACAGGGTCAAATCACTCCTCCCTACAAGACAAGAATCTACAGCAGGCCTAACAGGCCCAACAACCGATACTCTACCTACCTATCATGTGGATCAAACGGCTCTCAGCTTTGATCCTCATCCTTGCTTTACCCAGCCCACAAGAACCGCTAAAAATGACGTTTTAGCAAGAACCCTTATCCTTTAAACAAAAAAGTTTTCCTCTTGTTCTGAGGATATGTAGAATGGAGTGCCAAGGGGGCGTATACATGGAGCAAAATGTCCGGATCGCCGCCTGTCAAACCCCATGACTGGCAAGGATTCTTGTTTCTAGGTGAGACTCTTTGTTTCTGGAAGGTGAAGATATCCTGATCTCGATGTTCCTGCGCAGTTGACATGTTTACGTCATATCATATCAAGACTCTGGGGTTTGACAGTCTGGGATAAAGCATCATATGTGCCTTGTCAGAAATGTCTTGGCTGTTTGAAGAAACACCGTTGGAGGAGCGTTGTTGTTTTGCTGTGGCGATCGACAACGGGTTTCAAGTCATTCTCATCGGTGATCTGAGGTGACGTCTCGGTGAACCGCGTAGAAAGTCATCCACGGGAGCGCTAGGGTAGACTTCCCGGCACGTCTTCGAGGCTCAAAGTGGATGTGTAAGGATCATGGCTATCCTGCTTCATGTAAGACGGGAATGACATGGTTTCCCCATAATGACAACCTTGCTTCGCCTTCAGCAATGACTGTTCACCCGGAGCAACTGCTCAACGATCCTCATCTCAGTCAAAGCTGAAAGGCTGTTCTTTATCCAGTGATGTAACAATCACTAGAACCAAACCGCCCAGGCCACCCTACAGCATCATAGCATCCGCTTTGCCTTCAGCTTGTGCCGTGCTGTAATATATCGAAAAACCTGCTTGCCCATTAACGTCACAGTTCCTGACAGTCATGCTACAGTACCACACACTCACCTACACTCAACATCTTTCACCTCCGGTGTGCACAACCTTCGTCGATCCTCAGGCCCAGACCACATCAGCGGTGTACGCAGTGGCAAAAAGTAAACTCCCCGATCGTGATCGATTGAGCCCAAGCGCACTGGTAGCTCATATCAGAGACATTCTTAGCGCAGAACCGTTATCACAAAAGAAGCGCCCGGGCGCTTAATTAGTTGAAGAAATCTTGGGTTAGCGAGTGTGCACGAGATGATCTTCATTTCCCCCAACGGGTTTTTGATGCAACAGGGGGGAGGTCTCAAAGGACGATCTCTGTGGGTGAGACGCGTGTTTGTCGCTCGCTATCTATCTATGTAGATTTTGCAGTTCCAATAACAGCGAGCGGGGCCGGCCGGAGGTGCATTTGGGGGAGAGGGGGAACTTCGGGGTAGACAAGTGTAATTGGATGTTTTGCATTTTGGGGTCATAGCATTCTTGGAGTTTATGTGGTAGCCCGGGTGATGATACCCGGGAATGCATTCACTTTACACAGATGGAAGCTTGAATAGATAAGGCTGTTTTGCGAAATTGCATTCATTTGTACTGTTTGATGCTATCGCTAACAAGACTAATGACTCCTCCTCGGGAGATCTTCATGATGGTAATGTAATAAACTTGTGGCGTTTTTTCATGCCTCCGAGATCCAGCGTGGCTTTCGCAAGAATGTAAATGAAAGTTTAAAGATAAAAAAGCCACGGAGAGCGGATCCCTCGATATGCAGGTTGGTTGGTTCTGCAGAACCTAAAAATGAAGTAATAGACAAGAAGCGAAGATTGTGTGTAAGTCAAGTGGGTATGGGGAAGAAACAAAGACGAATAAACCCCCAAGAATTGCTTTTTCGCAAAGCATGCTGTAGTATGTCCCTAGTCCGATATTGCCCAGAATGTGTGTACCAATGTGAGCTTTTCCCTTCTCTTCCCAGCTCGAGTTGAGACCGTAAACGCCTTCGCCAATGCAGATAAAAAAGACAAATGAGAGGTATTAGAATTAATGCCAAATTTTGTTGTGTTGGGGGGGCCGTATGTTGCCACCGCGCAAGTCTACCATTGACATTGCGTGAGTATGTGTCGACATGATGTGATGGCGAAAAGTACACGAGTAAATATTTTCAGTTTTACTCGTTTCCAGAGCTTCGTCGCCTTCGTCCGCTGCGAAGCTCTTTCTCAGTCTCCATGAGTCTTGTCTGCACCCATGTTCTAAACGCCCGGTCGGCGCGAACACTACTGCAGTTGAGAAGCTCTGTCAGAGTGCGCTTGATGCTCTCGTTGACCTCCGAGAGGCGCTGCTCTTCTGCTGAAATCTCGTAGATGGTCTCCTCATCGGGAATCGTGGTGAGTTCATTGCGGTCCTCCCAGCCGCTGCAGCGGGCGTGGGAGCGCGAGTGGTGTCGTCCGCTCCGGGAGTGGCGCTTCGGTGAGGGCGGGAGCGAGAGTGATGAGGAGGAGGAGGATCGGGTTGGCGATGTGGATGGTGAGGAATTGTGGGAACAGCTTGACATGTTGAACTCGGGTCGGATCTGGTCGAGGCGATCGCATAGTTCTTGGTGTTGCTCTGTCAGAAGCATGTACTTCTGAAGAGCAAGGGTATATGATTGTGCGCCGGTGGAGGCCATTTTTGATGCTGGACTTGTTGAATATGAAGCCGGTGTGCTACTGATGCTCGATACTGATGTTGATCGGTTGTGCCCGGAGAAGAAATGGGGTCTCACGTCTAATGACGAGACCATCGAAGCGATTATGTAGTAATTGGGAGGATGATGTATAAGATTGGGCCGCGGTTATAGTGTCGTCGCCAACACTTAGAGTCAGGTCGTCCAGTGTATGAATATTCTTGTGACCTTTTGCCGGTGCAGTGTATCGTAAATGCAAGCTGCAATGTAAGATGTAGGTACTAGGTGTCGATCGTCGGATAATACGTCGTGGTTGCTCAAAGCTGAAGGGGGCCAATCTCAAGCTTGCATAGAAAACGTGTGGGTGGTTATATGATAGGAGCTTGGAATGTCCACGATACACGAGCAGTCAACTGACTATATGTGAGAGTAAGATGGATGAGTATGAGGGATCAAGAATTGATGTGACGGGTGCTCGGTATAGTTATACTGAAGCTTGTTGATGGATGATAAGAAGTAGTATGATGCTCATGTTATGGGGGGAGCAGGGTGGTTCATTAATAAAGATATGGATTGGCACTCCCGCTAGAATACAGTACCTACACTACGCTGCGCTACGGTCGATGCGGTATGTAACTTACGGGAGGGGTCAGCAAATAGATTGGAACTGGACTGAACTGATTGAATTTGACTGAAGCTTGTAGGGGTAGGTTAGAGTAGGGGTGAGTATCAAATGTACCAAGTACGAGATCCAGGTACGCCAGTCCCCAAGCCTTGGAATGGGAAATGAAGGGGAATCTTCAGGTCTCGACCAACGAGTCAGCACCAGGAACCGCCATGTCTGAAAGTAGAAAATACAATACTCATCCCCCCTGCCCACCATTTAGAGCCCTTGTCCACTGTAAGTCTAGCTCTCACACTCTGCATTTCTTCTCTCGCGCCTTGCTTGTTCATTATGAGTTAAGACCGTGTCGTTCTAGCCGCTGAACGGCAAACTTGCACTCACTGAAGCTAGCCCGAAGCCACGGGGGAGGGGGCGCCGGCCCCCTCCTATTGGGACACCTGGGAAATCAAGACGAGAGAAGAACAGGGATTGACAGAAGATCCTGGGCATCAAGCTTTGGTTGTGGATCCGCTGGCGATGTGACGGGATGCGCTGCGATTATGATGTGTGCGCTGTGGGTGGTGTGAAGCCCTTTTTTTAGACTGCCATTTACTGCACTGTATCCAGGTTGGCACAGTGCTATTCCCGGTTTGCGTTCCGAAGCTCTTGAACAAAATGGAAGGGTCTGATAAGTTCTCACCGGGTTCTTTGGGTTGGGTTACCTTGATGAGTTGTCGTTGACAACGTTAATCGCCCTGTGGCTCTCGCGCCATCATCCACCTCAATGAGCATGATTCCAGATGTTGATATCGAGACATTTCATGTCTTGCTACTCCCAAAAACGGTTGGTTGCTTATAAGCTCACCCAACTAGCAGCTAACCGATGTTCCAGGACATGAGACAGCGAGGTTTTTCTTATTCATGAGTTTCCGATTCAGACTCGATCTAGAGCTCTTTTCCTTGCTTGATGTTACTGTAGATATATCATAGCGTACGTGGAAAGTGGATTGATTCCCCATTGATATGGAGCACCATGCATTTCACGATACTATGCTTCCCCGGTTGAGCCCGCTGCAGAAGGCAAAGAAACTTAGGACCCGGAGCTTAAGGGATAAAAATATTTAGGTAAATTAGGTTAAGCTTAGGAGGCTCTTTGCTAAATTTATTTTTGCACTCTAATTGCAAGTCTGCATAAAGGCATGGGTCAGACCCGGTCCGGAGTTTGAGCGAGAGATATGGATATGGCTGATATTGAAGCACGATGCAGTGCTTGCCTGCTTACTGCACACTATACGAATATTGATTGCTTGGCGGTGATATCTCCTCCAATAAAGTACAACACCGCAGCTGTCAATTCCCCCTCACTATCCTCATGCGATTGATAGTGTTCTACAAGCAGCAATTCTTAGGTAAAATAACTCGTCCAATTCTTGTGCCGAGGACCTTGTGGCGCCGGGGATAGTAAATGGTGCCCGTGCCATGGACGATTGGTATTGAGCCCTTTAATTCCTGACCGGCATTCTCACAAAAAAGAACAGTGGATTCTGCTTCTCCAGGTCTTTTCTGCAATCTCTGCAGCTTACAGCCTAGAGATCCTTTCCCTGGGGTCACCGCCTGACCCCACGTGCAGAATATTCTGCAGCCGGTGAAAACAAGTAATTGCCTGATAGAAAGAACGTTGCAGTAGTTCCAAAAACCGGCAATGCAAGAATAGGTCACGATGGGGAAAATGCGGCGTGTCTGATGAATATCCGCACGTACTCTAGATAGAGGATTTGCACATGGAGGGCTTGGGTGCTGCACTGTGCCGCTGAGCTGGGGTGATAAGGCTCCAATTCCAATTCAGTTGGTGGATGGATGCCCTGTTTCCCGGGCTGCAACCCTCTAGGCTCCCCCCTCACTCAAAACTGTACTGTATGTAAGGCAGTTAAAACGGCTACAGGCGGGAGTTTTTCGTGGGTTGATAACGAGGTATCGTGGGGTGATTTGGTGTTGCGAACAGGTTCCATCGTGACGAATTGCTCGGCCGCTTGCGGACTTGATACACTGGAGCTATGGAGAAAAGAGACTGTGACAGAACAGGCACAACGCGTAATCCCCAATTCCCCGTCCTTGAAAAAGCTGTGGACTCTTGCTTGAATCCTTGTAATCCTCACGATAACGATCGAGGTGCTGTCCCCTGCTGCAGAGTAAATTGAAGTCCAGGATGAGCCCCTGCAAGATTAGAGCTCTTCCCGAAATAAACAAGGGAGCTTATCCTAGGTCGCTTTTAAGATGAGACGAAAAATATACATGTTTTCGTTCTTTTTCCTTGATTCACAACTCAACTCAACTCAATTCAATTGATGCAGCATGGATGGATCATCAGTTGATGTTCAGGGGCGTTGCGCTCTCCTCGTCGTGATCGACTTGCTTGCATAGCCGATTACCGACGGATTGGTGGGAAAAGACACATGACGTTTCAAACACCAACATCACCTCATAAAATCCGCAAAAAGGAAGGTTTTTTTTCTGGGGAATCAATCGTAATCAACACGAAACATGCCGATAGCTGTCCGTTGATCACATTCGTGGCTCAGAGCTCTGAAAGCTTGCTCAAGCTTTCACCTGATCTGCTAGTTCATGTCAATCGATCACCGGAACAAAGACTACAAAACTTCCGATAAGAAGCTTTCTCACGTAGGCAAGTCTGATCGGATCGGCTTTGCATACATAGCACAAACGTTAACTGTCATTTCCTTGCCTTTGATTCGTTCCATGATGCAAGTGTTGCTCGGCAAACTACACTTCTCTGTCTAGGGTAATCGTCAGTGTGTGTCATTGACGGCTAGGAAAGTCTCTTTTGATATGCCCATTACGCAAGTGGTATCAAGTCTTGAGCATCAAGTGACGATGAGCAAAAGCTTCTGTTTGGATCGTGCTACACTCTGTACGCCTACGACGTACATCGACGTAGTATCAGGGAATTGAGGTTGCGTGTCAGCCTGCTTTTCGAGACAACTCATCTCCTCCATCGTCATCTTCAACGCCTCTTCAACGGACGGCTCCAAGAGGTTGATCATTCATGTATAGAGCACAGTGCAAAGTTTGTCCCATCCAAAGCTTCAATCTATTCGAAGACATTGTCAACATTCACACGGCCTTCTCAGCACTACTCCCCGCTAAGAAGGTGGGTGCAATGACGGACTATCGACAGTCTGAATAAGTGCCGTGCCTGAGCGTACATTCCAGTCCGCGGCCTCCACCGTCACTCTCCCGAGCCTACTACACCCAGATCATCTTCAAGTTGAGGCCACTGATCCCGTGGCTCTTTGTCCGTCCATCCCCAAGGGTGCCACGTTCTTGGCTGGCAAGAGAGCTACACCCCAGGGCATCTGACCAACCTGACGGGATTCCAACTACCAACAGGATGATAAGCACCTGTCGCCATCGAACGCGGGGCAAAGCCAATCATCAGCCAAGATCGCCGGCTTGTCAACTTCTAGATTGTGCCCTCTGGAGCCAACCCTTTTCGCCTTTCCCCGCAACTCAAACCCAATTGCCTTCAGGGGTCTCGGAGGCTGATTCTGGCGTCCTACGGAGTAATTGAGCGTCCAATGGCCTCGAGAGCCTGGGTCAACCTGTAGTGCAGGTCTGTACCTGGGAGGCAACAAAGTGGTTGGGGAGTTTGCCATGTCTTCCATCTGTGCAATTGATCACTTCTTCAAGACAAACAGAAGTCTGTTAAAGAGGTTCATCGGGTCAGCTAATCATGGGCCCATGCGTTAAGCCAAAGTTAAGAGGTATCATCATGGTTGACACGCAGTGGTGTGACTTTCCCCATACCCGAGCTCAAGTGACATATCGAGATCATGCAATTGCTATTGCCCGTTGCATCTGAGTCTGCCAGTCTCTGATACGTCAAAAATCCCAGGACAAATACAGCCAGTCGAGCGGCACCTAGCCACGAACTGCATGGCCACAGCGCTTATCGTGAGCCGATTATCAGTCGAGTGGCACGACGCTTCACAACCAAGTGTAACTGTGATGTGTTTTCTGTAACAATAGTTTGGCAGTCGAGTCGTTCAACCTTTGTGCTTTTCGGATCTCCCGAATTATCAAGATGCCGCATTCTGTATAGGTAATTCATGGTGCGACATCCGAATGTCGCTGGTTGACGCCGACTTCACAACTGGAATGCAGAGGAGTCATCCCTTTGACAGACTGCGCTATCCTAGCTGCCGCCCTCTATTGATATGAATTGAGTATAGTGTCTGTATGGAATCCAGGGGCCCGGTTACGTTCTGGACACTTTGCAGATATGGATAGCGACATTATCGTTGTAAAAAGGACCCTGTTGAACTTCCCGCTTTGGGATTGGGAATTGTATCACCTCGACGGCGAGTCCGTTAGCTTGGCACTGATCCAGAAACGCTTGAAACGTCTTCTCGTTTCGTTGTGTCGCTGAGATGAAAACCTCCACATGTGGATGAAGGTCAAATACCTCACGCAGAGTCCCGATTAGGGCTCTTATCACGCTCTTGTCGTAAGTAATGTCGGCGCCTAGCACGACATCAATAGGACGCCCACCATTCCACTTCTCCTCTTCGGTACCCATGAGAGCGTGTCCCCATTTCACGTCCATTGGAGTTACTTGAGTGGAATCTTGAAGGTCATTGAGAAAAAGGTTATCGGGGAGGTTGTTGATCACATCGTCAGAGCCATCTGATGCTATGACATGTTGAGAGCCGAGGAAGTTGGCGCAAAGGATAGAAAGATATCCTGTACCAGCTCCTAGTTCCAAGACTCGCTTTCCCTTGACAATGTGTCTGTTCTGGCTAAGGTATGAGCCTAAGTGAAGAGCAGCTTCCCACGTGCGTAGACCAGTGGTCCCTGAGCCTGAGATGAGAGAGTGGTTCTCGAGAAGGGTGATATGAGGCGCCTGCTGGCTTGGTCTTGAGCTGTCTTCACATAACTCAGAGAGATGGTATGTGACATATGACTTTTGCTGAGCAGAAGTGGCTTCTGAAGGCAATGGGTTTGCAAGAAAGAGTGAAAGCGCAGCCATCAAGTCATCAGATACGCCCTGGGTATGTCAGCAACTGGTGAGAAAAGGAGGAAATGGAGTGATGCTAGCGACAATGACTTACATACTCTTCCCAGTCATCAATGCTAGCTTCAATTCTGGACATGAGCTCTTTGAGAACTCGAAGTTGAAACCGTGGTGGAGGTCCATATCTCACAGCTCCATCAGCGAATAACCTCTCATAAAACGCATCTTGGACCTGAGAAGTCTTCAACAGTGAAGCCTCTGGATAGTACAAGTCAGACTGGAGCTGAAGATACTGATGACAGAACCGGTCAACTTGTTTGGAACTTGACGACATTTTGGAGGCGAATGGAACGGTTGCTTGTAATTTTGTTGATTTCGTATATTTCGCATAAACTACGTGAGAAACACCCTGGAATCATCGCAGACTCAACTCAATTGTGGACTTGGAGTGGCCTGACGACACTATCTCCACCAAAGACTGGAGTTGAAACTTGGACATCTCCAACTTGATTTGAGAGGCCGAAGCCTTTGGTAATACCCGACTATTCCCAGGCTCTCCCAACCGAAGATTGTCCGACTACTCCCACGTGATTTCAACGTGAAAAAACCCTTGTGTGGTGGAGCCTCAAAATCGAGGCATCAAATCGCGCACATTCAAAGAGATTAGGGTTGGACCAAATTAAGCGACCAAAGTTGGATTTTCAGTGTGACAACTTCATCAACCACGATCTCACCCATCAACGCCCAGTCTCTCCACCGTCAACTAACCCCCAGAGACCATCACGACAATCGGCAAAAATGGCGGACAACGACTCCCCCGTCACCCTCCGAACTCGCAAGTTCATCCGCAACCCTCTGCTGGGCCGCAAGCAGATGGTCGTGTGAGTGATACCCTCAGATTTCTTGATGATGCCGTCCCTATACTGCGTCTACCGCATCGCGTTCCTCGATACCATCACCTGAGTCGATGCTTGAACTCGCCTGCCTTTTTTCCTGCTCGATATATCGCTGTTCTGCACGATTGTACGCCACATAACGAATTTATCGAATACCGTTCAGAAATTAGGACAGGCGGGCATAAAGCATCGACGATGGGATACGATGGGACACGACATGGGGACATGTCATTCTGTGCTTGGGAACTTGTGGGCTGACCGGCGATTGCGTTTAATAGTGACATCCTCCACCCCAACCGTGCCAACATCTCCAAGGAGGAGCTCCGTGAGAAGCTCGGTTCTCTCTACAAGGCCCAGAAGGACCAGATCTCCGTCTTCGGTCTCCGAACTCAGTTCGGTGGTGGCAAGACCACCGGCTTCGCTCTCGTCTATGACTCCCCCGAGGCCATGAAGAAGTTCGAGCCCCAGTACCGATTGGTGCGGGTTGGTCTCGCCACCAAGGCCGAGCGTGCCTCCCGACAGCAGCGTGCGTTACAGTCATTCTCAGAAGCTTACAGAGGGTTAGTCAGGCTGACAGACAACTACAGGCAAGCAGCGCAAGAACCGACAAAAGACCCTCCGTGGTACGGCAAAGGTCAAGGGTGCCAAGGCCAAGAAGGAGAAATAAACGACTCGATGACTTGGGTTGGGCTTGTGTATATCCTCGGGCTGGTTGGGGAGCAGCTATGGCTGCGTGCATGCGGTGGTGCGTCCATTTACGGTCCATCCTCGTCGGCGTCGGCATCAGCATAGGGTACAGGGACTTGCTGGGCGGACGGCGAGGGGCTACTCTGGACTCGATGAGGAGGACTGCCTTCACCGGCGTCTTTTCTCAATTACACTAGCATGAAATCAATGGTGTTCTTCGGGTTTCGGACCAAAATCAAAAATAACAACGTCTCTGGTTTACGCGGGTTTTCACATTTGGCTCTACGGTTCGTGAATGCATGACTTATGACTAGATCACTGTGAAAAAGGTATGCGAGAGAAATACAGAATGTTCTAATCAATCAGATGCCGCCCAGCAGCAAGAGGGTATCAACACATCTATCCAAAACTCCAAACTCCGCCCAATGCATCTTCATATCAACTCCTCACCACAATCCTCCATATATCAACATTGCCAACCCCAACGCGATCCCAACAACGACCTTCCAGTGCACAATCTCAGCTTGTCGGCCCTCAGCGCCCGCCTTGTACACGGGGATATGCCATCCACAGCGCTCCTTTCCATCTCTCGTCTTGCATTCGTAGTAGGTTGTTTGCGCCCAGCCCATGCTCGCGAGCTGTTCTGCTTGGTCGGGGGCGGCTGTGACGGGAGGGTTGAAGACAGATGGGTTGGCGTCGTTTCTCTCTTGTCTCTCTTCGAAAAATGAACCGCCTGGAAGATTGGGAAGACCTGTTGTGTCTGGGAGGCCGGGGGAGAGTGTCGGTGCAGGTTGAGGTTCTGGGGTTTGTGTAGGTAGACAGAAGCCCATACTCAACATAGCGAGAAGGGTGAAGATATAGTTGAAAGGCAACATGATTCGGTCTTGTTTTGTGTTGAAGTTGGCTTGCTTGTATATCAAAATTCCGTGTAAGTTGACTGATTTCCGAGTCAAAGTGGTAGATAATCGTCTTAGAAGGTTGATATCGTCGTTATATACCCGTCTTAACCAAACGGTTCACAGTTCTCCAACGAACACAACAGCAAGCAGTAGTCACAATTTCACAAAGCAGAACAAGTTGCAAAAAAGGACCGACAAACCTCACGTTCCATACCCCGAACAATATACTTATTTCCCCTAAGAGAGCCCCATGATGAACATTCAAACCACGCGACAACAACCAACGGCTCCTCAGTAAAAAGTGCTCATGAGACGCTAGAACAGAGACAAAAATTAGGCTTAACTGGTAGATTTCAGGCAAGATGCGAAAAAGATGGTGGGTTGTTTCGCTGCATCATCTGCCTGCTCAAACGACTTGGTTGGCTGAGGTGCCCTGCTCGTGATGCAGCTAAGACTGCGCTGAGACAGGCACTGGGGCTAAAGGACGGGTTCGTGATGGTCCTCACATGAGACGCTGGGCATTAAGAATGAGAATGAGAATAATGATTTGAGTTTCGTGAATCTTGGCCTTTTTTTCAAGCTTGTTTCTTGTTTGTTTGTGCCACTTTTATTACGGTGCAGATTTTTAACCAGCTTCGTCTTTTGTCTTGAGCCATTCGCTGGGCTGACACGCTATGCTTCCTCAACGCCATGTTCCCTAAAATACAGAATGCTTGATACATATTTTCCCTTACCAATCCTTTCCATATCCTTGCTACTCGAACTGAAATAAGGCGGTGGAGCGCCCGATGCAAAAGATGCTGTCTCATCCGTTCCAGTATTTCCATAACTTGGAACCATCTCGTGTCTGTCAGAACTTTCGTGTGGTCTTCCTACGGCCCTTGATCTGACTATAAGCACTCGTCGACACCCCTCGAGCCACTGGAGCAGATGTCTGTCCACGTGTAGTTCGGCTTTGTACGGTTGTTGTCTTCTTCGCCTCCGCCGCGGGTAGACTCTTTCCTCGACTTCGCGTGTTCACTTCGCTGTGTTTCTTCTGCACCCAACCTGAACCCTGTGGCAGTGGAGTATCCTGATAAGTCTCGTCCTCGCTGTCTTGGGCATAGTCCTCGGCATATTGGACTGATGCTGGACTAGAGCTCAGTTCGATAACCTGGCTGCCCTCTGGGATGGCGAACTGTGATTCTTGCTTCACTTTCTGAGATGCCGGTGGTGTCGCAGCATGTCCAGGTTCAGATGCTTCAGGCTTGGACCCCTCGCTCTTAATCGAGCGTACCAGGGGGCTCCCCTTTTGAGATTCAGGCTGTGTCGCATTTGGTAATAGGCTCCGTAAAGATTTGTTGCGATCAGGTGAACGATCAGACTCCTCGCCCTCATCCAGCTTTCGCATCGCCTCTTCGTAATCCCCATCTTTCTTTTCGGACTTAATAAACTGGGGCACTGACATCTGACTGAATTTAAAAGGACTTTGTGTTTGCCTTGCTGTATGAAATATTTCCTCCAGTGAGGGAAAGGGACTGCTACTTCTTGGGCGGGACTCGTTCGTCACCTGTGGGCTGGCGCTTCTCCCGTGGAAATCATCAACTATGCCCCCTTCGACTGATTCTTCAATTCGCTCCTCTGGAAGGTCGTCAAGGCCGCTAACTGATGGGGGTTGTCGCCCACTGCGAACGCTACCCGCAGATGAGGGCACCACTAACAGACGATGATCAACAAGTGCGTCGTCCTTTGTCGGCAGTGGTGGCAGTTCTGGCGACGGTATAGTATCAGGAATAACTGCGTCCCAGCTACCTTCAACTGTCGGTACCGGCTCTCCTTCAGACTCCTTTGCATCTTTCGCTCTATCCGACTCATCAATACCTGTTTTCTCCTCCTCATTATCTGTTTTACCCTTATCTGAATCACGCGACAAAAGGGATTGCAACTGGGACATGGATGCTTGCATAGTTTCCTGGAGTTGGTGGAGAGGACTGTCAAATTTCCTCAACAGCCCAGCAGGCTGAACAAAGCTGCTGATCGGACTGTCGTTTCCGGACGGCGGAAATTCAAGTCGCGGAGGTTGCTGGCCAGAAGGGATCGATGTCGATTTGTCAGTTCCTGAGGGTTTTTCTTCAGTTTCCTGTCCCCTCAAATCGGCCTCAACCTCGGCTCTCACTTTCTGTGTATCTAACTCCTCAGCCATAGTCTCATTGGGATCTGTTTTCGCGCTAACCTTGTTGTCCGACGTGGAATTTCCATTCTGTACGGTTTTGTTCTGTTCGGCTTGAAGCTTGATGCTCTTAGCAGAAGTTTCCAGCATAGCAGGTGGCGGTGCTGGTTGGACCAGTCTTGGGTCGGACATTTCTGCCCACGGAATCTCCCTTCGGCCGTCGTCCTCTTCGTCTTCATCAAGGTCTGGTGCTTCGAACTTTGCATAAATCCGTTGGCCTGTGTGCTCATCGTATTCCTTGTCGTTTCCGTCTCGGTCCCTCATCGCTAGAAGGACATGCATGCAGTTCTCCTCGCTGATCGAAAGGATAAGCCCGGTCATGGGCACCATTTCGGGCTGCCAGTTAGTCGCCTTGGACATAACTAACTGCTTCCAGGTGGCAACCATTCCTGGTTTCATGTCGGACAGCACAAGACTGGGCAGCGTACTGACATCTGAAGGCAGCGAAGGGAGATCATCTGTGTCTGTAAACTGACTCTCTTCAGGGCGATGCTTGGTTGGGATGTCATCATAATTCAACACAATGTCTTCATCACCGTCAGCTCCTGTGCCACCAAAAGAACCCTCATGGGGCTCCTCTTCGTCGTATTCTCCATCATAGCCACTCTTGTTCTTTCGCTTCTTCCTTTGACTGTTGTCGTTCCACTCTTCATCGCCGTTCCATTGCTGAGAATCCTCTTCGTAGTAGCTATCATCGTTGAAATTCTGTGATGCTCTCTTTCGCTTCCTCATTGATCCATATTGTTGTTGAGGGTCCCATCGCTGCACGAATGGGAATGGTGGCTCACTCAACACAACATCATCATGACAGCATTCGACAGCTCGGTAAGAGAGCTTCTTTCGCCATGCTTCAGGGTCTTCATCCGGTTGCTCTTCTGCTGGCTTGTCATCGTTGGCCTTGGCTTCTTGAGCTTGGACTCGAGGGTTTTGCAGAGGCTTCACATTCTTCATCAGACTGTCGCGAAGCTTGTCTTCATCTGCTTTGGTCTTTGGGTTCTTTAATCCAAGAGCACCGAGGAGAAGTCGTCGTCCGGCTCCCATGTCGACTTTGTGGCGGCGCTGAGCAGGGACAGGCTCTTCTTCGACTGGTGCTACGTCTTGGCTCGTAGTGGCGGCTGATGTTTCCTCTTCGACTTCGACTTCAACTATCATAGGTCTGGTCTCCTTGTTTGTTGCATTTTTGGGTGGGCTTGGGTCATCCTCTTGCTCATCACTCACGGCACTGAGAAGTGCCCGCTTTCTAGCCAGAAGCTCAGCTTCCTCGCTTGCAGTGCCATTGATAGACGGCTGAGATTGTGTATCCTCTAGGGCCTGCATAGCCTTGAGTCTCTTGGCATCTCGTTTTCGGGCATTCCTCTTTTGCGTCCTCGCCATCCCAGTTCCAGGCGGTTTCGGCCCTTCAGAGGGTTCTGACGCTGCTTTGCCAGTTTGGCCATTGGTCTTGGGCTCAGCGTTCGCCGGAGGTTGCGGGGGCGGCCGCTTCGTTTGAGGCTGCTTTTTTGATGAAATCTCCTCAGGCTCTGACTCCGAATCGGTTTCACTTGAGCTGGAGTCTGAGTCGCTTGAACTGTCGCTGCTGTCATCCGAGTCACTTTCAGCGGCGCCTTTGGTAGCCTCAGCGCCGCTTGAATCGGAACTTGAATCTGAATCCGAGTCGAAGTCACTCGAGTCGGAATCTTCAGAGTCTTCTTGGGTGGTTTTGGTTGGCCGCGAAGGTGTCGGGGCCGGGAAATCAGAGTCATCACTAGAATCATCATCCGAATCGTCCGAGTCGCTGTTCGATTCTGAATCCGATCTCTCTTCCATGTCCACATCGGAGTCAGCGTCAGAATCAGAATCAGAATCGGAATCAGAATCTGAACTACTGCTAGAGCTCGAGGTATCTTCCTCCTCATTAGGGACTTCACTAATCAGAGGTCTTGATGTTTGACTCTGCGACACGCGTGGCGTACTGGCAGGCGCTGGTTCTTCCTCAACCTCCTGAATCAGTGGGCGCGTTGCGTCCTTAGGTTCCGTCTGACCAGGGAGGAGCAATACTCGATCCTCTGGGTCTTCTTCCTCATCGGCAGGCTGATCGAGCGACAGCGCATCTGAGAACCCAGGACCAAGAAGGACTCGTTCAAGGGCTTCATCGTAGCTGATCACGGGTTTGTTGGCTTCGGATAGTTTTTCGTACGTTTTTCGCAGATCTTTGTTTCGGTTCATCTCGTCTTGTAGCGTGGACACTGGTGTCAGCGGAAATGCAGCTCGCAGAGCAGTGATCTTATCGAGCCACGAAACGTCAAATCCCTGCGTAGGCAAAAGTACTTGTGGATCTTGGCTGTCGTCTCCCGAAAGAGTTTCCTGTTCCTTGGCAGGCGTTTGCTCGACTATGGCATTGTCTTCTTGTAGAAGTCTCAGCTCGTCAGAAAGATCCGCATCCAAGTCGTCCTCGTCGCTACTCTGAGCGTCGTCTTCGTCCTCCTCGTCGACCGCAGGCTCTGCGTGGACTTCTTCTATAGGTTGGTAATCGGTTTCGTCGTCAATGTCTTCATCCTCGTTCTCTTCTTCGAGTTGATCGCTGTCCATAAATCGTACTCTCAAACGAACACTGCCTGGTTCCTCCATTTCAGGGGCTTCAGAGTCTTCGAGCAAGAGCTGCTCCGACTGGTCTTCTTCGTCCACATATGAACCATCATTGTCATCTTCGTCAAGCTCTTCTTCGTGCGTGATACGTGCTCGTTTTCGAGGGGGTAGGTCAAGCGCTGGACGATCGCGTGGTGCCCTTAACCACGGCCTTCCAAATGCAAGCCCATCAATAAGATGCTTTCCATCGTCAGATATTTGGTGTCGGCCGCTGAGTTTTCGTCGTCGTAGATCATCGGTAGAAAGTGATCTTATTCTGTGAAACTGTTAGTATGCGAAAATATTGTAGGGAAGCTGGGGGTCGTACAAAACTTGGTCATCCTCCTTCAAAACTTTGCCAACGGGCTGGAAATGTAGCAGCTCGAAACTATCGCCCTTGCCATCATACAGCTCGACAACATAGTCCTCAAGGCCCCAGTCGCCACTCTCGAGCGGCACTACCTCGTTGACCAGCGCGAGGAGTCTAGCTACAGTCAAATCGTCGTTTGCGACGCAGGGCCATACGAGCTTGACTTCGGGGACTGCATGTCTGCGGATGACGAGCCGTAAACGAATCGTTGTGGACATGATGGGGGGTTCTTCTGTAATTTATGATAGCATGATTATAATAGCGTCGTATAGAAAAAAAAAAAAAGAAGAACCAATAAGGTGACGAAATGCAAAATTTGGCGCGAAAAGAAGCTGAAGATGCGATTTTGAGAAGCTTGACACGCGCCGACAGAGAAAAGAGCTAGGCCTGTAAAATCGTCACAGTAGCACCTTCAACGGCTAGGCCCGACCCACTATCAACGACAACCTTTTGGGATCGACCATTTCGGAAATGAAAGTGCGGAAAGGACATTAAAATACCATACTAATTTCTTAGCAAACTGCCTGCAATTGTTGCGTAGCTTGAGAAACTCTCATTATTTATAGGCCCAGATTACTCTTAAATCTTCAAAGACATGTTTTTTCCAAGAATGTCCGTGTGGGTGTATAGATGAACCTATGATGAATTCAACACCAATGGGGTTAGATCTACAGAGCCAAGGTTGTTTCAATCCCGAATAACAAGCAGGTTGTTCTGGCAAAAAAGAAAGGTCTTATGATAAATGATAACAGTCTTATGATATAAGCAGCTTCTGGTATCCTGAACCTGTACACCAACAATGCACCAGTGATTGCAGGTCGTGATGCAAAGCGCAGCTCCCGAACATTTTGGGTGTGTGGTTTTGTCTACATATACATCAAGCTCGCCGCCAACGCCGTCAATCATTCCCAAAGAACGACGATAAACTCCATTCAATGATGACAAGAAAGAGCTCCTAGCCAAATAACATGTTCCATATTGGTATATTTCGTTATGTCTTGAGAGTCTACTGTGGGAGCGCTGCCATATCGAGCATATGTCCCATTTTCTCAATCTAATGTCCATTGTTAGCTGACAGTTCATAAGAAACTTGTCCGTCTTATTATAACGTACCTTGGTCTTGAGATAGCCCTCCACCTCTTGACTCCTGAACCCTCCCCGACCCTTCCAGGACAGAGGAACCATAGCCACCCGCTCTCTAACCACAACCTCCCTATTAGGGCCCTCAACCGCGCGAATCTTGTCAGGGTTGTTGGTCAACAATCGAACCTCTGGCTGCCCAAGATCAAGCAACATAGCCGTAGCCAAGCCATAGCTTCGAGCATCAGCAGGATGTCGAAGCAACAAATTCGCTTCAACAGTATCAGATCCCAAATCCTGAAGATTATAAGCCTTGAGCTTCTCGCCAAGACCAATTCCACGACCCTCTTGTCGCAGGTAAATAATAATACCACCAGCCTTGTTACCAGGTAGACCCATCAGACGAGCTGCTTCGTCGAGTTGTTCACCACAGTCGCATCGCGCTGACCATGCTGTCTCACCTGTGTAGCACTCGGAGTGAATTCTTACCAGGGGAGGCTGTTCTGACGGCTGCGGTGGCTGTTGCTCTTGAGGGGCTGCTGACTCGACACCACTGGTTGTGCGACCGGGGAACAGTCTGCCCGTGTATGCGCCGCGCACCATGCGGTCCATCTCGGTCTCGCCCTCTCGAACAGCATCTAGACTCTTACTTCGGATATTGTTGCCAAACACAATAGCAAGGTGTTCCTTGTTATCCACATTATTGGTGTACAAGTGTAAGAACATCTCTGTGCCCGCTACCGTGGGAATACGGGCACGAACAATGCACTCAACCTCCGGGAGAGTCTGGAGGAGCTTGGGTTTCTTGGATCCGCATCCTCCGGAAGGAATGGAGCTATCGACTGGAACACCGCGAAGTCCGGCAGTCGACGGCGTAGAAGTACCGGGGGTAGAGGGAGGCGTGAATGATGGCGAGAGCAGTGAAGGCGGAGGTTCTTGGCCGATCGGCGTCTCGGGATCGGGGTGGGCGGAGACGGAAGCGGAGGCGGGAGTGGATGGAGCGGGGGAGAGTGATAATGAGTCTATGGATTGCTCAAGGGATTGTTCGTTGTGCGAGGTAGAAGCATCTGCAGCCTCTGTCTTGGGAGAGTAGAAGGAGGGCAGAGCTGAGCTGGAGCCCGCCGGTGAGCCTGTCATGGTATCAGACGGCATGTTCTGGCTTGAGGCGGGCAAGGACGGCGCCGCGATCGGGTTTTGGGGGATTCGGATTCAAGTGTCGCAAACTCGGGCGGAGCGGTTCGCTAAATGCGCATCGATCGGTGGGAGGTGAGGTCAATGTTGCAGAGAGAGGGAGAGAGGTAATTGGGTATACAGAGTGGTCGTGTGTAGCCTGTTGTGTTGAAGCAATGGATTGAGTAGTGTAATTCTGTGTATGGCGATAGTTTGAGGAACCATGACTTGATAGAATGGTGGGGTTGCTTGAATTCAAGGGTACAAAACGGGGTTGGTCTCATTAGTCATCGGTTTCTACGACATTTCCATCGCGCGCGCTCATGACAATTTGGCCGCGGGGTTGGACCCTGATTATATGAATTGTATCCCCGGTGGTGACAGTATGTTTACGGGTACAGTCGATGATATCAGGTTAACTATTGGACCTGATCAAACATAGTATTAGTTAAGAATATCTTCTGAATTAACAATATGCTTACAATTGAATGCTTCGATCTCGAGGACGGAACTTGCACGGGACAAGCGTCAAGAGAACCTCGGCGAAAGCGGCCGAGGCCGGAGAGCGGGGCGCCGTTGACGGGAGTCTCTGTCAGCATTTCCAATCCACCAATGAATCTGAGTCAGTAACCGAAACATGCGGATAATCATCCGCTCCTCATGTGAACTCTTCCAGTTGTGCTGTCGGGTAAGGGGAATTCCGCTATATTTGAGAACCAATATGTCATTGCGAGTTGATTGACTCAAGTCATGACGTCTTTGACTTTCCAAGCTTTAAGTTGTTGTCATGATCAATAAACCTGGTGGCCAAGGTGAAAGGTTGGGTTGGGCCTCGACGTGTTGATTGAAGCTATGCCAACATCTCACGATGCTTCAAAGTTGTACATGTAATAGTCAACCAAAACTGAGGAATCACAAGCACAAACACAGCAGAAATGATTTGCCAAAGTTTGATAAGTCACTATTGGCATGAAACTGTGCAATTACTATAGATGAACCTTCTGACTCTCGAAAAGGAAGAGCTTTAGGGTAAGCCAGCATCATGGTGTTGACAAACTCATGCCAAGACCACAACCGTTTACCAAGGATTCAACGGTCTCCCCGCCGTTTATTACCACGATCCCCTCAGACAAACATTACGGAAGCTCACGAGACCACCCCTCATCAGCGACAACCACTTCACTCCCTCGCACGGAGCGGCTTGTCATCAAAGAAGGGATGAAACAAGGCCAGCTCAACCCTAATGCAGGTCCAGCGTTACAGTAGGCCTAACCGCCGTGGCAGAAACTCATAGCTGTCACTCCACGAAAATAAGGGGATGAACCGGTTGTTTCTTTGTTCTGTTTCCCCTGTTTCATGAGTGCGCAGACAAACACGTAGCTAGCTGAAGCTGACAGGGCTGGCGTTACCTCCCGGCTGCACCCCTGAACACGCAGCAAACTGCCGAAGCGCTGGAGCGGTGTGATTGCTCGTAAGGTTTAATAACAGGACCTTCTTGGCTGAAGTATCATTGAGAGCTGCAGAGACAGCGAAGCAAATAATGTCGATCTCTGTGAATGAAGCATGACGTTGGGATAGCCCTGCCGGCCCGACTGTGCCTTGGAGATCCTTTTGCACGTGGCTTGCTCATCCCCACTGGTCAATGCTGGCCCTACGCGCCTTGGAAGAACAGCTCATGTTCGTACTTTACGGTTCCGAGTAAGAAAGAAGAAAAGAGTTGCAAGGATAAGATGCTGACTGCACGGGTGTGCTAGAGCTTGCAGGGCTGCGGAAATGCCTCATCAGGGGGAACTTAAGGCAAGGGCTGAGCCTGAGGGGGCTGGGAGGCTGAGGATGTAAGCCACATCACGCCAAGGGGCCATTGAAAGGCCTCCAAATGGAAAGGAACAGAATAACGTGGTGTTCCTGATCGCGATTGAGTTCTTCATCGATGTTTGTGAGTATCAGTTGGGGAAAGAAACAGACGTCAATAAGCCACGGCATGCGGTTGAGAAAATTACTTCGAGCCCTATCTCACACGTTGTCATAGATCTGTGTAAATACCGATTCAGCCACTCGACTTTTAAGTGTTGTGACATAAGAGGCATTGTGATAAATTGAAAAGTGACACATGCAAAAGCAATTACTGCAAGTTAAATCACTCTGAGGCCAGTTGAAGGGATGATGTCTTAGTGGTCTTAAGCGCTGAGGCTGTCACTTTTATATGGTGACACAAATGAATTGGCAAAAGTAAAGTGAGGTGGATGGTAATGTATTGACATTTCATCAAGTATGTACATGAGAAGTAGATGTAAAACAAAAACATATTTTCCTTCCTGTATCCTGTGTATCATTCCAAAAGTTTCATATCATTCGTAGCGAGTGATACGCCCCCTGCATCTATCTACTAGGGCGGCGATTTTCTATTGTGATCATCATAGCATGTAAGACATAAAGACATGCGTTGTCATCTACTGAGCAGCGACCTTCTTGCCAGAGCCGTAGAGGATGTTCTCGACCTTGAGGTTGAGTTTCTTGGTGGAGCCGAGACCACTGGGGCACTCAGGCTGGTTGCTGACGGCAAGGTTGAGGTGGCACTTCTCGTTGACACCGTACTTGCAGACGGGGTCGTTGATGTTGTAGAGCACGTAGTTCTGGGCGACCCAGCTCTTGGGCTCGCTGATGCAAGAGGCAACGTAGTTCATGGAGTTGGCGGCAGCGAGGGGAAGCTTGCCGTTGTCGAGGATGTCCTTGCACTTGGAGGCGTGGACGTACTCGTAATCCATGGCGATGCCACCGCCCTCCTGGGGGTCCTTGGCGGCAGACTCGCCGAAGCCAAGGTAGTTCCAGGCATCGTAGGAGATATCGTGAGCACCACCAGAGGAGTCGATCTTGAGGAGATAGACGGAGCGGCCCTCGTGGGAGACCTTGACGCAGATGTTGTTGCAGTCAACGGAACCGGGCCAGTAGGCGACGCGGTTGGTGTTGATCTTGCAGCCGAGAACTCCAATGCTGCTGGAGTACTGGTCGTGGGGAGTGATGCTGGCAGAGCCGGAGTCACCACGGGGGAGAGGGCCGGCAGAGACCAGGGCAGCAGAAGCAGCAAGGATGGTGGTGAGCTTGGAGAACATGTTGACGGTGTTGTAGTGAAAAAGTTGTTGACTTTTTGTATACTTTGGAATGTGTGTAGTTATTCTGGAGACTGGCTCGACTTGTTTATATCTCAACGCACGGCGGAGAGAGGGAATGAATGGGCAAGTTGAGTGTGTTTGTAAGGACTGATCTCAGATCAAGGTCTGGAGCGACGGCCAGCCGAGTGAATGTATGAAGATGTTGGATAAAAGGAAGGAATCTCACAAGAGAGTGTGTGTTGTATCAAAGGAAAGATCTTGCATTAGAGGTGGATGAGACGGGAGTTTATATACATGAATGAGATCGAGTATGAGACCAGAGCGGCTCTCCACAAGGTCCTGTCAACCGGAGGTACATCCTGAGATCTCGGGGAATCAAACATTTCAATTTTTGCACAAGGGATAGACTAGCCAGGGTGTGTGCATGTGTCTAGGAGACAAAGGGCTGCGTGTACATGCATCGAGGCGAAACAGCTTAGACGTGGCCTAGCAAGAGGGAAAAAAGTGACATCTGGACGGAGTTGAAGTTTATGGAGGAGTGGAACTCGGGTGCAAGCATTAGACCCATCAGGTCCCCAGAGTCAGAGTCAGTGAGAGGAAACAAACAGGCGACATGATTCGCGAGGACAGAACATGGGGGCAAGTTCATTAGTCAAGAGGACCATTGTTGCTATGAAGGTCCAAGTTTTTAGTTGTCTCCGCCCGGCTCGCTGCCGATGGGTAGACTAGTAGAGTAGAAGTGAGGTGTGGTAGACCCAAGGGCAGCCAGTGGCCGGGTGTCTTCTGGTAGCGTTCCGGAAAATGTCTCAGTGGATGAAAGTGAAGTCTTAGGCACGGTGCGTTAGTCAGGGACCCGGCACCGCGGCAGATGCACACACTCAAAGGTTTGAGGTGTCAGGCCATGGGCTCTGACTGGTTTTGTGCCTGGCACGATGCCACGCTGTGCCTGATCCTCCCTCGCCCAGTTGCCCCCCCCCCTGTTCTTGTGCCTGAGCAACCCATGCCAGTGCATTCAAGCGCTGTGTGAGCCTCAGGAACAGAAGCGCAAACCTCTATCAATTGCCGTCTGTACATACTGCACTCTCCGCCTCAGGCACAGTAATCGATCGATCGCATGGCTTCTTTAAGTCGTGCCAGTAGACAGTACTTCTAGAATCTAGAATAAAAGTGTGAGTGGATTAGTGTAGCAGTGCAGTTTTATTCGCGCGCTCCGTTTTCTCAGGCTATAGAGGTGAATAACTAAGGTAGGGTAGTTAGACGGATGATGGACTAGACGGAGCAGAAAACGGAGCGAAAACTCTGCAGGCCCACGATGCGTGCAGCATGCTTCACGCCACGATCGAGGCTCTCGGTTTTGTATGCCTGATATCAAGAAATGTCTGCCTGACAACTCAACGCCGACACTGTGATTGTGATACTGTACGGATGCAGGCACCGTCCAAAATGGTCGCGCTACACAACAGCACCACCAAGAAATGCCATGCCATGCCAAATGCCGCAGGTTCTTAGACGGTGGATCAGATGAAAACTCATCCAACCAACAGCAGCGTCTGCAAAGTCATCTAGGACTTGTCAAAAGTACCATTCTCCAAGGCAGGCTGTATGTTACTGTACAATATAATAATTTCGCCGATGAGTGCCTTGGAGTTGGACCTGGTGATGATCGTGATTGCCAAGCATTTGAGCAGTCAATGCCACAGACGGCTCGCAGCGGGAACCCGATAAGCTTGTTTCATTCATTATTCGTGTTTGTGGAGGAAACATGCCAAACATTGCTCTGTTTTCTTAATTAATTGTCGATCATGTCAATAAATCTGGGCATCTATTGACGGGAGCCTGCCTGTCAGCTTTTGTAATGGAGGGCTTCACAAG